AGAGGTAAACTATCTCACATTCACTCCAGCATGCTGTGAGTGCTGAGCAGATCCCACTCACCTCTTTCCCCTCTACCACCTCAGACATCTGTACACTCCATAGTGAGAGGGAGTCTGGTACTTGTATTTGCTTAGTGCAATATCACAGTTTATAAATGGTTCTATAAACTTTCCTGTTAGTAGGAGCAGCCTTTAGTGTGGCCACATGTATCAATACAGCCTGAGTATGTCCAACTTGTTTTAACTGATATATTGCCAGATTGTGATGTTATTTTTCATGCTGACTAATACTTCAGGTCATCCTATTAATTTTGGTAAGGCTGCTCAGAGACTGCAATGGTACAATCTGGCTAGTTACAATTATGGGATTAAATCTCTACCTCTAAGCATAGAATAGCCTACCCAAAATATCTGGTTTAGCAGGTGTCTTATTGGCATTTTAAATATTTTGCATACGATTATAATGCATCCTGAGAGAAGAAAAAAACAAAACAAAACACTGCAAACCAGTTTATTAATAAGACTCTTGCTGTTCTGCTAAAATATGACAATTGATGATTTACATGGCAGAGACTTGACCTTTACTTTCCAGGATTGTAAAATAAAACCCCACACATTCTGCATCTGGTTGACATTTGAATAAAACTGCCAGAGTGCAAACAAGTTCTGAGAAAACATCTCTAGCAAACTCTGCACTGACTCTAAAAATATTCTTGGTGAAGTTACTCTTAAAACTCATAGCGGGGGGGGGGGGGGGGAAGAAGCAAAAAGCAGCTCCAAACTTTACTAGAATTTATTGCAATAAGAGATTTGCCAAACTACTTAAGACATTTGGGAAGATTACAGTGAAGTACATTAGTTGCCGACTCAACAATTTGCTATGTTCACTGCTTGAATAGTGGATTCTTGATATTCATGCTGAGAGCTGATCCAATTTTCTAGTACATTTTAGCAAGAGACCTGCCAAATGTCTACTGGCTTATTAAATGCTAGCAAACCAAAGGTCAGTCTTGTTTATGAGCCACAGCAAAGCTGCTGTGGATGGCACACAAGCACTCCGCTTTTTTTTTTTTTTTTAAAAAACAAACAAACAAACAAACAAACAAACAAACAAAAAAAACAAAACAAAAAACCAAACAAACCAAACAACTTAAAATTCCAGCAGAGGGTTGGATGAAGATGAGTTTGGACTGGTTTTGACTTGGAGTCTCTCTAGGTCTGCCTCATTCTCTCCAGCCACAACCTGGAGGCAGCAGGAGAGGTAGTTCTAGTATACTGAGGTGTGTTTCTTTTTGTTTCCAGGCTCATGTGGTCCTGTTTGCAGAGGTGTGGGCCAGATTGTGTGCCCTTGCTACATCTTAAATGAGCAGGCAGAGCCTCCAGCTGCAGAGGGCAAACCTATCCTTCCTTTACAGTCCATTCCTCCTCCTCCATGGGAGTTCATCCCTTCAGCTGCCAGAGTGAAAGGGATTGTGAATGGGAAAGTCTGCTGCACCCTGTGCCCAATCCAAAGTTGTCTATGTCCATGGGAAACATTTTGTTGATGGCTCAGAATTTCCTCTCAGACTTTCTTTGTGTCTGAAGTGACAGTTCTCTTCTGTTCACCATTGTTGCTTTTGATATCATTCCAGTTTGGTATAACTGAAGATTATCCTGGTACAATAAGCAAGTATTTCTATAAAGAGGCTAATCCTTGCCCTCCTTGGCAAAGCAAACATCTTAAAAGGCAGTGATATCTCTGTTACATTTTCTTCTATGTTACACCATAGTGAACACATTACCTCAATATTTCTTACACCCTATAATATGTATTTATTATACTTATATGATTGGTACATAAGAATAATAGAAAAAATCTCTGACTACGTATCTACAAATATGTTAGACAGCAATGTATTTAAAAAGTAAACAACTAAACGCTTGTTTAAAACAGAGCATACTTCTCCCCCCCTCGCCAATAACCCAGACTTCCTTGTTTAAAGCGTTCTATGGCACTATCAGTTTAGAAAGGCCCGTGTCATGGATAAAAACCATATCCAGTTTTGCTTTACAAGAGAGAGAGGGAGATGAATGTAGAAAAAAAAATTCCACCTTTTAATGGAAATAAACTACAAAAGAAATCATGGTTTGTACTGGTTGGGTAATTCCGGAAAAATGTGATTTTTTTTTTTTTTTTTTTTTTAATTCCCTTTTCCTTCACGAAAATCTCAAAATCTTTGCTGGAGCAAATATACAGTACTTTATGTACCGAACTCCTTCTGTCCGGGCCCAATCCTGGGCTGGATCCCTCCGTTATCGGGCTCCGGGAAACGGGACCGCAGGGACGGGGAAAGAGGGGGGGGCGGGAGGGTTACAGGCAGGAGCAATTTGTTTCAGATTAAACGGTAACATCTCTGACCTAACAAGCGGCGGTGATCTCCCGCGTTTGTCATTGCAATCTGCCCTCGGCGGCGCGAGGAGGGGGCAGGATCAAAGCATTCCTCCGGGGAAATTGCACCCGGGATTGCCGTTTGGTTAGCCTGCCCTAACCTCGCTAATAAATTTCCCGTGAGGAAGGGAGGGCTGAGGAGGTACTTGCAGCTGCACCTGCATCTGCCCTGACGGCAGAGCCATGATGCAAAGCAGGGCCCAGCGCCTGGGGAAGGCGAGAGTGCAGCCTTTGTAGTGCCCGGGGCTGTTGCTCTGCCCCGCAGGCCAGGGCGCTGCTACAAGCTGCACAGCCCCCACCGCTGTCCGCCCGGCCTGAGAATCCATCCCCGGTCTCCATCGGGGTATCCACAACCACAGCCCCGCCTTGGGCAGCGGAGCTGCGTTACACCTCCTCCATCTCGCCTCGGGCAGGGCGGCTCCCGGGGACACCCCGTGGCAACGCACGGGCTGGGGGGAAGGCACAGGCGAGGAGTCCCGGAGTATCTCAGCAGCCCTGGCCGCGGGGCCCAGCCCTGTGCCCCGCAGGCACCGGGGCTGACGTGACGGCAGGGCGCTGAGCAGGGAGGGCTACGCGGGGCAGGTGGATGCACAGCTGCACATCGCAGGCTTCAGTGCCTCTCCTAACGACGAAATCAGCGCCTTTCCCAGCACGGCACGGCGGTGCCTTTGCCCACGTCGGGTCACAGAGGGCACGGCTGACACCGAGGACCAAAGCGGAGGACTGAGTGGGAGCAGAGGTCCTTGCGGCCCAAGAGTGGGAGCAGCTCTCCGGCTTCCCCTTCCGCGGGTGCATGCCGCTGGAGAAAGGCAGAGGCACCTCTCCTTCCCGGCGGGAGAGCAGAGAGTGGCGGAGGGGAGTGCAAATGGGCTGAGGAGCTGAGCGCAAACAACAGGAGCAGAAGAAAGTTATACAAACATGCTTTAAAATAATGGCTGAGTTTCACAGCTCCCTGTGGATAAAGTAAACAGGAGGCGAACTGTTTTGTAATTTACTCCAGCGGCCCGCAGAATTGTACTTTGTAATTTGGTGTCGGTTTACAGACAAAGGAGACTTCTGTTTCCTAACCTAGCAGGTCCTTTGTCATGCTTGTGCCTTTTAAGAGCGACTCCAAGGGGAAAAGTGGAATTCCTTATGTATTTGCCTTTTAGTCATGCTTGTAAGTCAAACAGTAGCCAGGCTCTCTTTTGGGATGAATAATACCTGCCGTCGGAGGATGCTTTCCCTTCTCCCCGCTCTCCTGGCCGTGCGGCCCCGAGGAGGAAAAATTCTCCTTAGAGACAAACTCTCCTTCCCTCCTCGCAGGTGCCCATAGTCCGCGGGGCGAAGGGAAGTGCTGGTGCCATGTTCGGGCTGCCGTGGAGCTGTGAGCTCCGGGCCGCCAACGGGCAGCGAACCCTCGCGGCGCCGTCTGCGCCGCTGGCCTCTGTCCGGAAGAGCTGCAAGAGCAGTGATTTTCCATGCCGAACCGGTGTCCGGCAGCTGGTCCGTGTGCTTACCGTGGGTGGATGCCCATGTTTATTATATACATTAATATTATCAGTATTTATTATACACACGAGACTCTCAGGGAAATAAAAAAATATTTTCCCTTTTCGGAACCTGGTTTTGGCCCGTATGTTCTCCATACGTTAGCTTTCGATCAGCATGCACTGGTGGGAAACTGATACTTTCCCACATGTCTGTATTTTTTTTTGTTTTCCCAGGCATACTCTTTAAATTCACCAGCTTTTCCCCTGCCAGGTGCTGAACGCGGCCGAGGTGTATTTTGTCCACTTTTGCCCCTTTGGAATTTCCATTTTCAGCTACGGAAGCACGGAGCTCTAAGCACTGTGACACGACTGAGACTTTGTGGGTCACAATTTCGATCGCTCCCTGACTGGGGAGACAAGGGACATTACCCAGTTTCCAAAGAGCAGCCTCTCTCAGGGAGCGGCGGGGTGAAAATTACTTAGCAGTTCAGTGGTCGGTGGAAAAAGCCACTGAGGGGATGTTAAAAAATAAACGAAAAATTTTCCTAGACTTAATTTCCAAAAGAGAAGGATTTCGTTGCAACTTCAGACTCGGGAAAAAAAAAAAAAAGCCGTCGCCATGAGCACGTTCCATCCTCGGGGCAAGCAACGCGAACGACGGCAAACGAAAAACGCGGTGGCTGCTTCAGGCTTTCAAGCCCGCGCCCCCGGCCCGCTCCCCGCTTAGGAGGGCCGTACCCGCCCGCGTTGCGGGTTTCTTAGCTGTCACAATCGCACGCTTTCCAGTCTGTTCTCCCTTCCTTGCCCTTCACTCTCCTTTCTCTCCCAAAACCGAGAGCCCACCGCCCACCCGCCTTTCCCGCCCCGCGCCGCCGCCCCCACGCCCTCCGCGCACAGGCACCCACGAGCGGGCGGCCGGCACGCGCGCGAGGGGGAGGGGCCGCGGCAGGGCGGGCCAATGGGAGCAGCGGCCGCTGGGCGGGCGGCCAATGGGCGGCGCGGGCGGCGGCGGCGGGCGCTGATAACGCGGCGGGGCGGCGGTGGCGGGCGCTGCTCCTCAGGGCGGGCGGAGACCGCGTCGCTGCCGGGCTATCCTGGGGCGGAGGGCGCGCATCCACGGCCGCGCAGGGCAAGGGCCCGCCGCAACGCGACACAGCCGCCCCCCGACGGCTGCCGGGGAGCCTGGCAGTCCCTGGTGCGCGGATCGGGAGTCCCGTGCCTCCAGCCGGTCTTGGACAGTGGCACCTTGCGAACTGCAGGGGGGCTGCGTGCTGCCTGCACCACCTGCCTTCGGTAAGTGCAGCGGGCAGGAGGAGGGACGGGGAGGTCGTGTGGGAGAAGGTGGCGGTCCGAGGGCGCAGCTCCCGCAGAGAGCTCCAGGAGCCCACACTGCCCCTGTGTACTGGAGCGGACAGCGGCGTGGTGTCAAGCCTAGCTGTCTTCTAACTGTCTCCCAAGTCTGAACGCACCTGGCAGGAGAGTTGTCAGTGTCCTGTAATTAGCAGGCCCCTGTCAAGACCTGACATACCCTGAACTCTGCGGCGCTGGGCATCGCCCTGCGGCGGTGCCGCCCGCATCCAACGCCGCTGGAGACGCGCTCCTGCCTGCGGCGGGCGAGTGCAGTTCACTGGGGCGGGCGCGGAGGAAAGGCGGTAAGGGGGAAGGTGACATTCCAAGCAGGCTCTGCCGTGACTTCGCGACGGGGACGCATTTCGGCGGGGCTGCCAGCGGGCACGTCGGAAGCCGAGTGTGCCCCGGCTGCCGTTCGACCCTGACCCCTCTCTTGCAGCTGTGCCACCGAGGAGCCATGGCTGAAGGACGCGCCGCCGCCGACTGGGAGATCGACGTGGAGAGCCTCGAGGGGGAGCCGGGCGAGCCCCCTAGCGCGACGCTCAACAGCACCGTCCCGGAGGAGGAAGAGGAGGAGGAGGAAGGCGAGGAGGCGGCGGTGGCTCCGCGGCGGGGCGAGCCTCGGAAGCTGAGCCGCACGCCCAAATGCGCCCGGTGCCGCAACCACGGCGTGGTGTCGTGCCTGAAGGGACACAAGCGGTTCTGCCGGTGGCGGGACTGCCAGTGCGCCAACTGCCTGCTGGTGGTGGAGCGGCAGCGCGTCATGGCCGCCCAGGTGGCGCTCCGACGGCAGCAGGCTACGGAGGTGAGGGGGGACGGGACGGGACGGGAAGAGGCAGGGCGGGCGGCCCCGGTCTAACGGCGCCGCGCGATCGCTCTCCTAGGACAAGAAGGGGCTGACGGGGAAGCAGGCGAGCCTGGAGCGCAAAGCTGTCTACCAGAGGCACGTCCGAACGCCCAGCCTCTTGGCCAAGAGCATCCTGGAAGGTAAGCACTTCACCTATCCCTCCACAGGCTACCCTCAGCCCTGCGGCACCCGCTCTGCTCCTGGAATACCCGCAGTCTTCCAGTCCGAGGCGCGTCTGCTGCGGGACGCGAGTGAAATGCGGCATCATTCCCGAAACAGACGTTAAAGCGCGTCCCGCTACCAAGTGTCGGGCGGCGGAGGATCCTGCCCTTCGAGGCCGGAATCAGTGTGGCACAATTTCAGTGCTTTGCCCTCTCCGCCCAAAATAATGCCTGAAATGCTAGCAACGGTAGTTTGAAATTTGAGAGTTACTGTTACAAGCTGACATTCTTTTTACATGACTACCCAGCAGCGTTCTGCAGTGCAGGGTAATTTATTCACAGGGTCATTTATTCGCGAGTGTTTTTATCAGCAAATGAGTAAATCAGTGATTTTTTTTTGTGTGTGTGTGTGTGTTAGAGCTGAATATCTAACACAGCAGCACGTTTGCAAGATTAACAGTAATAAGATATGCGTAATAGGGTGGTCAAATTTTTTTCCCTGTCCAAAGTGTTAACTGTGGAAGAACAATATTTTAAAGATGGACATTTTAGAGAGAGGGTATATTTTTTGTTCCCCACTCCCTTTTTGAATGGTGCACAAATTTATTTCTATGTCTGCTTTAATAACTTTCTGAACTGTAGACCTGTAAAATACTTCTCAATCTATTTTTTGTTTCCAAAATAGAAAACTCTTTTCTTTGCCTCTGTAAGTTCAATTAAAATTTTGTCTTCTTAGAAACCTCTAACTTTTGTCTACAGTTCACTTTTTTGCAAACTCTTCTATATTCTTTCCTCTGATCTGTCTTGACTGTCTTTTTCTTTTCTCCTAGTTCTCCTTTGAATTTTCTACCATCTGTAGCAATGTCTGTACATAGTGATAATCTTTTGAAAACAGAAAATACATCAGCTGTGGGTATAGATATCTTCCTTGGAAAAGGGGAAACTGTGTAAGAGTGAAAACAGGTAAAACCCTGTTCTGCTTACTCATGTAAGTAGTTCCATTAATGCAATGAGATTACTTGTCTGGTAGAGCAAATAGGATTGGAATCTATCTGCTATATTAAATGAATCCAAGTAGCTTGGCAATTGAATACACTGGAAACTGGATTTTTCTGTTTTATCTTAGTTTTATTTTATTTCTGAAGAAATAAAATATTTGAAGGCTTTCCATATGTGTTGAAAGTGAATGGTTATCTCCTTAAGCTGTGAAATGGAATACCAGTCAGAACACAGCAGAGCTTTGCCTTTTTTTTTTTTTATTTTCCCCTGCCCCCGATCTGTTCTTTTGGAACCACTTTTTAAGAAGTTACTAATCAGTTAGCTTTGAAGGATACTACACGTGTCAGAGGAGTAGAACTTGCTTATCTGCATTGGGGAACTTGTTCTGAACGTGCCTGTTGGCAGATTGCTAAGCCTCTGGGTCACAGTGACTTCTGTAGGAGCTGATGGTGTCCAGGGTCTGTGGCGAGTGCTCAGCACCTAGTGGGACTGGTTCCAAATGGAGCCCTTGTACAAATATAGCTTTCATGTTTTTCTTATGTGGCTTCATTCCTAATGCTGCTTTGTTGTTTTAGGTTACCGTCCAATTCCAGCAGACCCGTACGTGAGAGGGAATTCACCCTTGCCACCTCCTGTAAGTGACAGGATGAGAAAGAGACGGGCTTTTGCTGATAAAGAGTTGGAGAACATTATGCTAGAGAGAGAGTATAAAGAGAGAGAGATGATGGAAGCTACACAAGCAGCTGCCCTTTTTCTCCCTAACCGCATAGTGCGTGGAGCTGAATACAACTCGTATAAAACAGCCTTCAACACTATTCAAGTTGATGCTCCAAACAAGGAGTTTTGCAATTTTTTACCAACCTGCCTTGATCTAACGATGCAGTATTCAGGAACCAGCAACGTGGAATTAATTTCATCAAATGTCAGTGTAGCTACTTCCTACAGGCAGTATCCTCTGCATTCTAGGTTCTTAGTGTGGCCAAAATGTGGCCCCATTAGTGACGCTCTTCTGTACCAGCAATGCCTGTTAAATGCTAGTACTGTCCAAGCTCTCAAACCTGGGGCAGGTTGGGATGCCAAGGTCTCACAAAGTCAAGACTGTCCAAACACTGAGCATGACATTATGCCTCCAAAACTGGAAAATTCACTTGTTCTGACTCACACGCAGGACATTCAGCAGTCACATAATGAAATACTGTGCCTTCCTCAAGAAGCTCGGGAGAGGTCAGCTTTCTCTCCTCCAAAAGGGACTTTCTCGCAGATTTCTGATAAGGATTCTCTGTCTCCTCAGGAGCAGGTATTAAGCAAGATAAGCAAAAGCAGTAACAAACCTCCTCCACCGCTCAAATACAGCCCATTTCAGTCACTGTTCCAGCAGACATTTTCTGACAGATCAGGAGCAGAGTTAAGAACATCATTTGTGAAAGATACTTTTGAAGATGCTTCTAAGAAATACAGAGAGTGTGCTGTTAAAGAGAACCAAAAATACAAGTTTATTGTAGACAAATGTGCAAGAGACTTCTTTGGGGCCAAACAGTCCACAACAAAACTTTCAACAACTGAGCCACTGTCATTTTCAGTTGAATCCATCCTTAAATGACCTTCTTGTGCAGTTACTAGTGTCTCTCAATGAATAAACTATACCTTCAGAGTAGAGAGTAAGTTTTGCCTTCTACCAAATTGCCATTGCCTGCCTTATCTCTTAGAAGATTTTTAAAGATGAATTTCTGCTGTAAATGGTAATTCTTTCTTTTATCTCAAAATTATATACATAAATATGCATGTTTTCTGAAAAAAAATTAATTTTTAAAAATTGAAACCACATGTATAGATTAAGTGTTGTTATTTTAAGCAGCATTGCAAACCATTCAATAAAATGAGTTTACTTATAAGTACAGACTGATCTCTGTCTTATTTCTAGCGTCTCACAGGGAAGTATGTCCTACTTTCAGATTATACTTTTTATTTTATCTGCCATTATAAATGTACTTACTACTCGCATTGCTGTGGTAAGTGTCATTTTTGGTCTGAACATCCAGTAACTATTAGAAGAGGTAACAACTGTGCATGTAGGCTAGTGTGAATTCCTAAAGCTTTTTGTTTACTTAAGTGGCGTTTGGATCAGATTCCATATGCTGTTCTTACTTTGAAGGAGGACTGCATGCTAGTCTAGAAGACTTCTCTGTTCCACACCTCTCTGTAAAAGCTTTTGCTTCTAAAGCAGCAGAGTTACTAGGCTGGTTTTGAGGGGAATGGCTCTAGTGAGCTTTGGATAAGAAGTCACCATTTTTTGAAGTTCAGTTTTTGAATGAAAAGTCTACCTTTTAAAATTAGTTGTTAAATTTTTTTTTTTTTTTTTTTTTTTTAATGCTCAACTCACTCTGGATTTCTACCCCTTCAAATACTTTCCTTCTGAAAACATTTCACTCTTGATCAGCAAGAGCCTGATATTCTTGTTTGTGGTAATTGAAATGACCTTCAGGCTGTAAAAAGAATGCACAGAATCATCACTGCTAATGAGAAATCAAGTGATGATTTCTTGGTTTTATAATTCTATGTCCTTATGCAGGCATGGCAGAAATAAAGGAGAGTGACCTCTAGAATTTACAAGAGAACCTGAAATAAGATATAGCTTCCTCTATGTATTTCCTCTATAGGTTTAGAGGAAAAAGCCAGGCCTCAGTATGACAGATCTTGAAGCTTTCTAAATTAATGACTTTGTAAGTTTTCCCCTTTAATGCTAATACAGTGAGTGCTAACCTGTAATCCTGTGGTTACCTTCCTTCCTTAATATTTTAATCCTGCAAACAGTGCTCATCAAGCTGAAAGCAGCTGTGTTTTTTTCTTAATTTTTATAGTTTTCTAAGGACAATTTCTGTTTGGTATTTTTAAGCAGAATGTGACATTTCCTAATTTTATTAAATTCCCTGCATGGGTTAAGTGTTTATTTTGCCTGTGAATTCTTGATTCTGCAACTCTCTCTCAGTGTTTAGTGTTTCTGCTGCGAGTAGTGCTGCAGAATAGCAGGACCCTTTTCATGGATGGTAGGAGTCATTTGTCCTGAGTGCTTTTCTAAGCCACTCTGTTAAAGCAACAGACAGGCTGGAGAAAAAACATTTTATGTAACATGTAATTTTTTACACAACACATCTTACAAAGCACATAAAAATTATATGTCAGGAACGTAAAAAATTGTAATTTAAAAGAATCTTGGGCACTGCCTAAAGATTCACTTTTCAAAAGCATTTATACTAACCAGATTTATTTTAGTGGAAAATAGGTTTCAAATGCAGAGATGCTTTTTTTTTTTTTTTTTTTTTTTTTTTTTTTTTTTTTTTTTTTTTTTTTTTTTTTTTTTTTTTTTTTTTTTTTTTTTTTTTTTTTTTCCCCAAACTGTCTTTTATCCAGTTGCCATTAGAGGGAGTTTTCACTTGCTTGAGAGTTGCATCTACTTGTTAATCAGTCTAGCAGTCAGACCAAGCTAAGCAGCTTTTACTCGGAATAAATGGAGAGAAATTGTTCATAATTCATATTTGTTTGCTTTCACCACTGCTTCCTTCTTTGGCTTAGTTGAACATTAACTGTTAACAAGGGGGTTTAATTTAAGCATTTTCCTTTGTTTTTAAAAATATGATTTGTTTTGTTTTTCGAGCAGCTGGCATAAACTAGGATTGCAGATGAAAGAAAGTTCAGCAATCCGTGTACCGAACCAATATTAGATACTGGAATTAATCCTGTGTAAATATTTTTTTGTGCCTGACAGTGTGTGCATCTAACATTGCTCAGTTTTACATCTGAAATAATTTTCCAGGAAGTCACTTGTCTTTATTCCTCTCCTAAAAAAAAAAAAAAAAATCAGAAAGCCAAAACCCTCTGACAGACTGGTACCCCTTGAACTTTTCAAGAAAAACTTGAACTGTAAAAATCAAACTCTGAACATATACCAAGCATTTATATATATTTATATAAATTAATATAAATATTTTTACACACACATGGTGTGGTTTAACCACAGCTGGCAACTAAGTACCAGGCAGCCACTCACTCACTTCCCCAACCTCCCCAGGGTGGAGAGAAAAATCAGAAAAAAAAACCAGCTAAGACTCACGCATTGAAAGAAGAACAGTTTACTAGTTGCAACAAAATAAAATATAATAACAGTAACAACAACTATTATAATAGTAATGAAAAGCAGAAAAACAGAGGAATAAACCCCCTAGGAACAAGTGATGCACAATAAAATTTCTCACCACCCACCGACCGATGCCCTTCCCATCCTGCAGCAGCAATCAGCTACTGGGCATGACATTCGGTTGTGCGGAACAGTGCTTGGGTCAGTTGTCCAGGCTATGCTTCCTCCTGGATTCTAGTGCACCTGCTTGCTGACAGAGCATGAGACACTGAAAAGTTCTTGACTTAGGGCAAGCACTATTGAGCAAAACATAAAACATCATTGTGTTATAAACATTATTCTCATACTAAAATCAAAGCAAACTCTATCAGCTACTAAGAAGAAAATTTACTCTGTCCCAGGCAAAACCAGGACAACACACTTTCATATCTAATATATGTATGCTCCAGATTGTTCATTCAAATCTCAGTCATCAGAAGAGGAGTGACATTTCCATTACTATTTGAAATAATTTGACTCTTGAAATGAGACCTGGACAAATTGTTTGCTTTGCCTAACAAATAAGTTTCACTGGATTCAGCATCTGTCCACCGTTTTTTACTGTCACTTGCTCATTTCTTGCTTCAGTTCCAGTAGCCATTTCACCTTTTAGTTAGTTTCCTTTCATTTCATATACCCTGGGCCTTACTTCTCACACATCTTGAAAACTTGTTCCATCCAGATTTTTTTCCTTTTCCCTTCCCCTTCCCCTTCCCCTTCCCCTTCCCTCCTCTTTCCCTTCCCCTCTCCCTTTCCATCTCTTCCACCCTCCCCTCCTGTTCCTTCCCCTCCTTTCCCTTTTCCTTTTCCATTTTCCCTTTTCCCAAAGTATAAAGATGATCAATCATGGGGAGGATGCTTGAGCAACGCAGCGTATGCTCAGACAGCATATGATTTTCCTTACACATCTTTGCAGTGGCTGTGTAATGCTCTTGTCCCTTTAAGCCTTAGGCTCCTCTGGAGCAGAAAGAGCCACTTGCCTGCATCTCTCCATGCAGCTGTGAAAACTCATGGAGAAGTCATTGTTCTGAAACTGCCTAGCACTTACTGCAAGGCTGTGTCTTGCTGGCAATATGGCTCCCCTATGCTCTCTCTTCTTAAATACAATTTCTGTGGCATTTGTTGGGTGTGTGGATGTCTGTATTTCTCCTGCAGCACAACGTGTTTGATTACAAGATAAACATTTGTGCTGTGCTTATGGGTTTCAGGTTGCATTTCTCTTCTGATCCCCTTCTGACCACAGTTTTTCTTATATGATGGTGGAACATGCCTCTTGGGAAGCTCAACTTTGGAGTTTGGACAAGAGGTCAAGAACCTGTGAAGGCTGGGGAGCACAAAACAGTTGTGGAAAGAAGCACGAAGAACAATTATTCATGTGGTCTGCAAAATAGCATGCCTGGGTGATGGTGTTGGTTGGTGAGACAACCAACTACCTGTTGTAAGTGTGCACCACCCATATGCATGCTGATACAAAATTTTTTGTAAGTGTAGAGAGGTGTGTAAACGTAGAAAACTAGAGGAACTGAGAATTAATAGCACCCCAGGCAGCAGCTGGCTTACTGCTGGCCTTACTCTCCTGGCCCAGGGGAAGTAAAGTCCAGCAGAGATGGGGGCCGTGGGGATGGGGGGAGGGTCTCTGCTCTGTAGGGTGAGGTGCTAACTTCTCTGAGGTGCTGTCTTCTCAGAGGTGACTGCACAAACACCTATGTCTTTCACAAAGTCTGCCATAAAATTGTCCTTTATCTTTGATGCCTTTGAATCTGCAAATTGAGCCTCTGGGCTTGAGATAGGCCAAGGTGAGATGGTTGGATAAACAGACTTAAGTCATTCAACTGGTGTCAAGACTGAAAAACCTGTGAAATCATGTGAATACCTTTGCATTCTGACCTGAGAATAAGACAACTTGTCTTTCTTTGATGACAAATACTTCTCTAAGTTCTGTAGTCTGAGCTCCTCATTTCCTTGGGATCAGGAAAGCAAGTCACTTTTTGGCCAGCTGTGAAGGAAGAAGTCATTGTAGAGTTAATGGCCCTGCAGCGAGAACATTAACCACATCCCAGATGTTCTTGTTTTGGAATTAAAGAATTTGACACTGGCTCAATTTCTTTATTTTAGATGTAGAACAGGGAGTTATGTTATCATTTTGATTTGACAACTTGCTTGCACAACCAAGCCTTTCAATTCCTGTATCCATCACTTCCCATTCAGCTGACCTTGATGTGAAAGCTGGCACCAAGTGTTGTTGTCCATCACGTATGAGATTCTCACTGTATCACTGAGTTCTTTCCCTGACTTTCTGCCAGCTGAACAGCATAAAGTACGCATAATGCCTCCTTTAACTCATCTAGTAGTGATCAGCCATTTTCTATTTGCTTGCATTGAAACCATGGCTTACGCAAGAAGGGTTTCTGGGGAAGCATGTATGGGCAGATGGAAGCCAGTGGCAGGAATGTCACGATGACTGGAGAAATGGAAACCAGTTGGTGTTTTATGGGAGGAAGCATCCCTCTTAATAAATAATGAAAACTTGAAAACCAGTGAAAAAAACCCAAAGAGTTCAATATTGCTGCTTCCCTCTCTTCCTGATTTCAGATCCAGCTCTTTGTGAACAAGCTATCACATTTTTTTTTTTTGACCTAGAAACAGGTCAGAAATCACATTCATGGCTGCAGCCATCCCTTTAGCTGTCATTTGGAGTTGGTAGCCCAAAGTCAGTGAGTTC